TTTTGACCATTAGGTATCAGTAACATAATTCATTCAGAACCTGTTCTATGGACATATACTTTCTGTACCACACTATTCTGCTGATGTGGAATGAGTTTGACGACTTAATCAGTTACATTAATAGAAATGCTTCACTGGGGCAAACTAAAGAAATCCTAAAATAATAAATAAGAGACCCCATAACACCAGCATTTCCAGCAGTATCCAACATTTCTCAATCATGATCTTACTCAGCTAAATGTGACTATTAGCTTAACAGCTGTATTCCTTGTTTGCTAGCTACCTATGCACATACAGCATACAATGTTAAAAATGTTCTACATTATGAACCTTAACCCAAAAACCTTTAGCTTCATACACTGTAAATAATTGTGACCCTGCCTGTGTTTTTTAAACAGTGGATGAGTAATTCACTCCTTGATTTGGTTAATAAAAGCCTCCTTTGAGATCGTTTTGACAGACATGTTTATTGTGTATTATTTTCAACGTGTTTATTGCTGAGTTTAGTGTGGCAAAATAATGAAATAATAATTCGCAGGTAGTGTATTTGGTTGCCATGGCAACCTCACGCGCTTCCTTCTGCTGCTCTATGTAATATTTGTAGATTTTCTATAGCAAAACTAAAATGTGTTTAAAAGTGCGACTGACCAAATCGTCCGGCTCGGTTGAAAATATACTATACATTTCTGACAACTTGCTAATAAATAAGCTTTTTTTTTGGCATGGTTGTTTTGCTGTATTTTTGTATTAGATTAAAGCGTTAGTTCACCCAAAAATGCAAATAAACGCTATTTTTCTGCATTAAACAAGTTAATTTTGCCAAGATATTTTCAGAGATGATAGACAAGATGTTATAGAATAATAATTTAATGAAAACCCAATTTTGACAAAAAAATTGACTTTCAACCAATTTTTTGAATTTCCTGAAAATGTCCCAGCTCGACATCCGACGGGTTTTCCAAGATCGCATCACATTTATTCAGCTTTCAGATGATGCATAAATCTCATTTTCAAAAAATTGACCCTTAGCACTGGTTTTGTGGTCAAGGGTCACATTTGCAGAACTGTGAAATTATTTGCTTAAGACTACTACAAGTTTTGTTGTCCTCAGACCGGGCCGTCCCTTTAAGAAGCTTCGAGGTGGTGGGCGTGGCAGGAGGCGGGGCACTGGAGGCGTTGACCAATGCTCACAAGGCTCCTCCTCCCCACACTCCTCCTCCAGTTCCTCATGCGAAGGCTATCCCGGCGACGATCGCATGCTGTTCTCTCTCCGAGAAGACCATTCTGCGCATGGCGGCCTGCGTTTCAACAAGAAAACAAAGGGTCTGATCGACGCCCTCAGCAAGTTCTTCACGCCATCCCCGGAGGGACGGAAAGCCCGAGCTGAAGTGGTGGACTATTCCCAGCAATATCGTATACGCAAGAAGGGCAACCACAAGGGCGAGCATGATGACCGGACAGGAGGTGAAACTAAACTGTTTAACTTTCAACATCTGTATTAGGTGATCCATGCTTGCATGATAAGGAAGGTAAATGCACTGAGAAATGGGCATTTCTCCTAAAATGTCACGTGTGTGTGTGTGTGTGTGTGGTGAGATTAAAACTGAAAGGGTCCCACTTTATATTAAGTGGCCTTAACTACTATGTACTTGCATCAAAAAATAAGTACAATGTACTATTGTTCATATTGTATTGCAAAACACTTTTGCTTCCATTGTTAGGGACAGGTTTGGCGGTATGGGTAGGTTTAAGGGTGGGTTAAGATGTAATTATAAATTTAATTACAGATTACAGATGTAATTACATGTAGGTATTTATTACAATATAAGTACAATGCAAAAACATGTACACAATAAGTACATTGTACCAAATGATTAATTTAAATGTAAGTACATAGT